GGAGATTGAGCATCCTCAAAAAGCAGTCACTATAGTATATTTTTAAAATCAACATTGGTCTATTATAGATGTTCTTCGCCAAGGTTGTTCACATGAATTGAATCGTTTTTTTTATAGCTGCGGTCAAGCGAAAGGAAGTATACGAATAAAATTTGTAAACATGGTTGTCATAGCAACTACTTGCATGTGTATTTATTGTAACCATGATACTCACTAAACAATTTTAAATGATGCTAAATTGAAAATTATTGACCTGAACGCACCCATTCGAAAAACATTTATTTGTAAATTTCTAGTTTTTACTGGATCAAAGTATCACTAATTTTATATTTTTAAAAGAATCAGTAATACTACTAGGTTATACAGGGAAATTAATTTTATTTTCATAATTCACCAACACTTTAAGAATAAAATCGCGCAAACAGATCCTTATTTTTCGAAGATTAAAGTCGTATAGAACTTACTGTTATGGTATGTATAAGTAGGAGAAACAAAATATAGACGATAAAAGATACTTATAGTACGGTAGTAGATTTAGCACGATTAAATAGACTGAATGGCTAGTACACAACAATTTAATGATGGTGACTGAACTCAAGGAAGAAAACGGAACTTTTAACATTGTATTTTATATCTAATAAAGAAGGAAATGAAATAGGTAAACACGATCTGGTCTGTACACGATCGATACTTACGAAATCCACCCTCTTGATCTCGAAGTTGGGTGTCTACGGAGTCTTTCATCCGGTTCAGCAACACTGCTGAAAACGTTTCCTAGTACTGATAGTAGTATGATGACTCATTAATTCATACATTTGCTCATATCTCCTTTCTTCGATATCTTAGCGAGTTATCCTTCCTTTAAATTCATCGGCACTCTAATGCTCCTGTTCATTTGCGCATTTGCATCTGTGAATTCAGCTTGTGCATTCACTTTATCTGCTCTTGCTCGGCTGTCGTTAAGTGATGTCTACTTCTTCTTCATTTCTTGAATCTTGTCTAGGATTTCGATGGAGATCCATTCTTTATAATGATGCCCTTTGAGGCCCAGCACCTCCTGACAGCTTGAATTTATTGCATCTTTGACTCCTTTTCAGTTATCCTCCATCGTGGTTTCTTCTTCTTTCAGTAGATACTGTAAGGCCTAGAATCTGTTGCTGAAAGTTATCTTGAGTTGGTTGAGTTTGTCAGTATATCGAACGAAGTTTGTACTGGATAGTCGTACTGCTGTTTCTCCAGCTGTTCAGGGTTTCTATAGCTTCAGTTTCATCTTGGCCACAACCAGATGGTGATCTGAAGCTATGTCAGCTCCTCTCCTGGTTCTCACGTCTTCCATTAACCTTGTGAATTTTTACTGATGCAAATATGATCGATATTGTTCTATGTAATTTGATTCGGTGAGACCCATGTAGCTTTGTGTAGGAATATTGTATCATCCATAAACAATTTGTTGAATGCACATAGATTTTAAAATCTCGTTTTTTATCCCAGTTACTCCATGTCGTCCCATGATATCTTCATATCCGGTGTTAATCGATTCGATTTTGGCGTTTAGATCTAAGAGGATGGTTAGGTCCTTTCTTGGGCACTTCAATATGATCGATTGCTACCTCTCGAAGATCTTATCTTTATTGTCGTCGTTTCTATTGTAACGGTAAATAAATCCCCGAAATAAATAGCTTTGTAAGTTTTCAACATCGGATGCTGACTACATTAGTTTTAATGGACTCACCTAGCTAAAGGTGCTCGGTCATGCATCCGCACTAGGTCACGAGTGGGAACGCCGTGCTCCACATTCCCTGCAATCGCTAGCCAGATTAAATCAGACGATCCTCAATATATTGATAGCCTATCAAATATATCTTCGAATCTCCTCGCTTCTGTCTTGTGATTTCACTTGGTGGGTACGCTTCATAATAGGTGTAACTCGTTAAGGCGTTGTCAAACTCCCAATACCTGTGGAATCTTCACTATCATTGGTGGGTGCATAAAACTGGATAATATTCATTGTAACTCCCCCCTTCGTCCTTTTGAATGATGCTTTGATGACCCTGGGTCCGTGAGATTTCCATCCTATACGTGCATTATGTGCTTCTATGGACAGCATCAGAGGAACTCCCTGTGTGTGCAGCATTTTACTTTTCATGATCGGAGAACAGCAGTATCTCTCTCGCACCTAACTTTTGCTGTCCAACTTAAGTCCGATGGGTTTCGATGATTCCGAGTACTTTCAAGTTGTAAATCACTTTTATTTCAAATCCCTGACCTTGGAATGTTATGCATTGTGGAACATCATTAACTGTGCAGGAATGCAAGCTGATTACATACAAGCAAACCATATTTACCTAGCAAAACACAGCTACAATTATTCGAATGATCGGACGACTGGAAGATATTAAAAAATAACAGCGAAATTGTCCGAACCGATAATAAAATATGATATGAGAGCAAAAAGTAACTTGGATTAGGTCACGAAACGTCAGAAAATCTAATTTTTCTACTCACTGGGATATTACAAATATATTAATTATAGTTCTATGTATTTGGATTCAGGTCAAAATCTTTTCTAGTAAGCTTACTCGAACTTGAAAGTACTGTAACCATTTGATAACCACCTTATTTATATTCAATAGGACAACAATTTAAATAACAGGCATTTTAGTGACTGTAAAAGGTGAAAGATTAATCCGCAATGAATGTAACTTTCTTAACTGGAAGAATTCTTTCTGACTATACTTTTGCTAACTGAACTGGCTCTCCTATTATTATTATTATTATTTCACCTTCATACACTAATTTCCGTTCGTTGTTGTCCTCCTTTATCTTATACACACTTTACATTCTCTATCTCTTTACAACAACCTTGTTGTTATTTTGTGGCGCTTATGTATTTGATGCCACTGTGTACCAATATTTGTGTTCAAATAAATAAATAAAATAAATAGTGAATATAACTTTTGATAAAACCATGTGGAGTAATACAATGATAATTTCATCCTGACAACACTTTAACAAATATGTTTGTTGCTCACCCGTACTTTATATGATCCGACTGAGTTACAGTAATATCAAAAGACAATCATTGCCATGTGACTGCGAATAATTATCAACGAGAAAAAAGATCACTCTTTAACTATCTTTTTAACCAAATTTTAAAAAAAGGGACTAAACAATTGATGTTGATTGGTTTAACAAAATAATCAATAATCAAAAAAGATGATTCAGATAACGTACTAGTATGAAACAAAATTCAACGTAGATACATTTTGACCTTATTGACGAATACACGAAAATAGTTCATTTATAATTTATTCACACTTTAACAATATTCAATCACTATGCACTTTAAAATTTCACTAAATCACTAACGAAATAAATGTTATTAACACATGATTAAACAAGAAAGTCAGCCTATTAGTAAATCGTTCAACGTTAACGTATAACATTTGGGCAATGACCTTTAAAAAAAGGAATTAAAGTAAGAAACAATTGGGAAACTTTTATATTATAAAAAGTATGCACTTTTATTTGAAAAACAATTGGATGCATAATCAAACAAAATTTTATTATTTTTTTGATTGAAATAATGAGTCGATTGAAGCTAGACCACCATGGGAAACCTGGACGGCCGTTTCGTCCTAATATGGGACTCCTCAGCAGTGCGCACCTTCGACCCCTTACCCCGCGAGATTCTAACTCAGAACCCATCAGTCTCGCGCCAGGCGCTTAACCAACTAGACCACTGAGCCGTCATCCAACGGTGTTAATGTCTAACCTCAACCAATTTTATTAGTATTTTAACCAGAATTAGTCACAATAACTGTATTGCTTATAACAAGATGATCAACTAACAATATACAGACATTATGATCATATCCATTATTCCAGATCTTTTTATAAATTTAAAACATCAACGAGCTAATTACTGTTATTAATTGAATTTCGACATATGTAAAACTACATGTGAGTAATTAACATGTATACTTTCAATAAATTAAGAATTCTCAACGTATCAATCAGAACAACGCATATAAGCGAACAGTATTATTTTCAATTAGATCTAATATATAGATATACGAATGTTAAACTAATCAAAGAAATCATAAGTCAATAATCACAGTGAAATATGTTGCATAATTACTTATAACAAACTAAAAGCAGGAATAAGTTGGATGAAGGTAATACGTAGTTCCATCATACCACGCCTAGCTGACTGTGGTAGATAAAAACCAGTTACTTCAGGTGACCTACCATATGTTTTCATCATTTCTGAATATTATCTACTTCATATAGTAGTAGCTAAAGGGATTCAAATTTACAACCTGTCTATGCATTCAGAAATATGACACTCCAGTCCCTTAAATTAACAAACGATTTTGCTCACTTTTACTGTTATTTCCTGTATCTTTTGTTTGTCACCGTATTTATCGTCTTTCATCTATATTCCTCACTGTGCAATTATTCGAAAATTTATTACTACATAGTCCCAATAACTTTTAATGATTATTATTTTAACGTTTTCGTTTCCCAAATTTTAATCTAATTCTTATGTTAAGACATTGGCTTAAATTTTTACTACTTTTATCCCTATTAGTACACTTGTTATCTCACCGTCAATTTACACTTTCTGTCTATTATGTTTAGCAATGCAATCTAATTCATTTTTAATACCGATTCATAAACTACGTTGATTGGTTGAATATTGTTCTTATATACATATAAATATTAGTGTATATTAGAGTAAAGCCTGATGAAGATTTGACTGATAACAATATTTTACACTTATATATATTGTTCCAATGCAAGTTTTTAGCGAACATGTATAACTGAGATAATGCTAAGAAAAGACGAAGTTTATTACTCATTAAAGAACCAAACTATTATGAACACGTATAGGTAATTAAAAAAAACTTAAATGACTCAGAATAGATTTCACAAATATAATTGGTGGTTCTTAATCGAGGAAGTTTTAACTAAGATTGTTAAAAAGTAATCCAGTTGAGATATATTGAATGTATTAAAGTATTTTTAATCATGAAATTAACATACTCTTGAAGCATATTTCATATTCGACACTTGTTGATTAAATATGTATCAAATCTCTAATTGGAACTCTTGGTTCATTAGTTCCATTTCAATTTACAACAATTGAGTTAAAAGAAACACCGATCACGAGAGATATATGATCAAAATGGTTAGTTTACTAATATTTTAAATCCCATCATTAAAAAAGCCAATTTCTCATTAAAAGACTTTTAATATTTTATCTAGTTATTCACAATATTGATGGAATAAATAAATATGAAAAGAAAAGAAAAAGATTTAATTTTTGTTCGAAATTACAATACAACCTTTCTTTCATGAATTTACACATAAAGAAAGTAAACATGAAAGGAGAGAATTGTTAACATTAATTAGCTTTCATTTGATAAATGAAAGTTAAGTGATGAGTAGTAGTAGTAGTAGTAGTAGTAGTAGTAATAGAAATAATCGAGAAAATAATGGATGTAATTCTTGATAGTAGTATGCAGAAAATAACTACTGCTTAACAGATATTCATCACGTAGAATGTTTTATGCATAGTTAGATGGATTAAAGCAACTAGACATGTGTGACCGAAAAACAAAAACCAACAAATAAACAAACTATTAAGATTAAGAAATATTAAAAATTTAAATATACAACATATAAATCGTGTAGGTATATACCTTGGTCTAATTTTTTAAGTGGGACAAAAATCCCAATTCTCCAAAACAACGGCAATATTAACAATAAAACTAATAATAATAACAATCTTAATTCAAGGGTATTTATGGATCTACCAAATTGAATGAATGAATACTTTTCACTAGTCGGAACTATGCATGCTTTCTTTAAACTTTTATTTTACTAGTAATGCAATAACAGGATACACTTACACATACATACATGCACCAAGTATGGTTAAACACTAATTTGAATTTTCACACTAATAACAATGTTTGCAGGAAAAAAAACAACACCAAGGCGACAGGTTAAATTAACAATGATTTATGTGCAAAGAAAAAGAAAGGAAAAAATCAAGGGGTGTCCTAAACTGATGTGAAACCAATCAGAGCCAATTATAATGAATAACTATAATAAAGATGTGGCACTATTAGTGATAGTAATGATAATAATAATACAAAAAAATAAAAGACGAAAGCCATATTTCGGGTACGTAAATTAATAATGTGCAATAATGAAAAGAAGATAAATAAACGAGAAAAAAATATTAACTAAGAATTATTAATTCTTGCTATAAAACGTTTTCTGGCTTTGCATAACATTGCCTTACGCCTGGCAGCGAAAGATGAGTTCCTGTCACCATTTAGTACTTCATCTTCACCTTCATCACCATCTGCTGTACCCAGTTGTTCAATTAATAAGGAAGGAGGACTGGATGATGTAAATTGATAGGTATCTTCAGTTTCACGGTTTATATTAGTTGTTACGCTGAATAAATTCTAACAAAGAAAAAAGCAAGTAGCAATAGGGAAGGATTTACACAAGATAAAGTTTTTTAAGAAATATCATGTCGCACCATGTACGACGAATATAGTAACCATAAGATTCACGGAATACGATTAGTACACACAGAAAATAATTAGCTGATACCAAATCTTTTTTATCGAAATCAAGTTATACGTCAGTAGCACTACTAGTCAGTCTTGAAGACGGAATAATTATTCCCCATTTCTTTATTACTTATCAATCACACCTGATTATTTGCATGAAGTGAATAAAATTTGTTACTTAGAAGAAGTCGAATCGTGTCCCGTAGGTTTAAAGTAACAGTGAAAAATGAGTACAAGCACCTGTTAGGATAATTAGTCAATAGATACGTAGGAAAGAAAGAACAAAGTTTGGTGCAGCACTAATCTTTGTTCTTGCTCTCTTTAAAATAATAAAGGGAACTATGTGTATGAAAGATACGTAGGAATCGGGACAGATATGCATAGACCCAAGTCGCCACACCATAAAAGGACAGAAAAGAAACTTATTAAGATAAATACTAAGGAATTAGACATAGTATTAATGAGAACAAAAAATGACTAGAAATAGAGAATGTGGTTCCAAAAGGAATAAACTTGAGTAACAAGAACTATGTGATATTAAGGTTAAAGAATTAAGATGAGATGAGGGATGAATGCATTTATGCCCACTGAGAATTCTGAGTGACATCAGTTAAAGTCTACAACCACTGATCACGACTACTTCTCAGAATAACAATCAATGAATATATGAACTACTGCCATGTCCTAGTTTGAGTGCACCTAGCTTCCTTCCAAACCAACTCCTACAATTTTTGTGGAGTTTTGTTCTTTGAAACGGATGGTTTGGTCGTGGAGTTTTTAATGTTCTTCCGAACGACATCCTCAGCACAAACTTGAGGTAGAACTACCTGAATTATCCACTTGAGCTACAAATCTCCACTATCTCAACTCCTACAACACAAAACACCACCCGTCGAGGTAAGTGGTGGTTAGGTTTACGTAACTTATATCCCAACCATCACACTGAGTCAGATCTCATGGCCTCATTAACTGATTCGCCAACTTTACATAGGACCCTACGATTAACCTTAGCATCTTTTCACTTTGTCGCGATAATATATTCAGGGGATGCATTCAAGACATCTATAGTCAAAAGTCTGCAGCCTACGAATGTCTTCTGTTTCTATGGTCCATGTTTCACAAACATATAGTAATACAAAATGAACTGCTGTACAGTTGAATCGCCACTTGGTTGGCAGACAGATATCTCACCAACTCCATAAATGACTCAGTTTGAAAAAAGCCAGTCTTTTGGCCTATTGAATCCATGACACGATTTCGTCAGACACCAATCTATCATGACTGTTGAGATAAAATAAAATAAAACGATCAAAACAGTCAATTGATTAGCCCCCAATTATCAATCTAGGCGATGACAGGCGCCAGTATTCAAGCAATATTTGCAGTTAGGGGGAGATAAACGTGATCTAAACACGTTTATATTACTACTTAAAGTGATAAAAAAAACTGCATTTTCTAAGTCTTCACCAAATTGTCATTTTGGTATTCTAACCCAATAAGAAGATCTCCTGACAGATCAATTTTTGAAAGTTGGGTAAAGTGTGGTTTCTAAGGGGACATCTATGGTAAAATTAGATAAAAAAGATTGTGACCAGACCTGAAGTAGTTGGTGATTTTGATGACAGTTCACGATGAACTCTTATTTGAACTATTATCCTTGTTTGTGGGCTTTATCGATAAAATTTTACGATGATAAACACAGTCACAAAATGTCTCGGCTGATGGAGTCGAATGCTATCTTAAGGTCAGGTAATTGAACTTTAGTTGGGCTTATATCATTTTGCTTACGTTTCAAAACCTGTTGAGGGGTGAACAACTGACCAGCATATTCACTTCCACGTGTCAGACAGACCTGGTCTTCACGAGTTTTTTTTCACGTGAAACCAAGCGTCAGATAAAAGGAAGTATTTCTCACAGGGTAATCTATAAATGATAGATGAAATCCTTAAAAAGGATTGTATATTGCTTATAAGTTCCTTGAAATGGATTTCAGAAGATGAAGCAATTATTTATGGATCTACTTCTCATTTAATGACCAATTTTGTAGTGCATTAAAATCATTAACTAAAATGTTTATTAGCATAGCTAGACTAAGCATATCAAGTTAAGCCAGTCAGTTATACGCAATGTAGAACCTGGGAAATATGAGACTCGCTTCAAAGTGTCACACCACATTGCCACAGTAAGATACCAGAGTAGTACAAGTAGTAACAACCTTAGATATATTAGAAAAGATTAGGTGTAGAGGATACAATTCGGGAAAATCTGGAAAATAATCAAGATAATTAGGATCTTAGGGAAACCAAAGAGTGAAGTTACTTGCAAGCCGAACAATGGAATATATAGTTAGAATGAGGAAAATACTACTTGATCACAACTAACTATAATCGTGAATCATATTTTCGGAGCTTTAGTTTTCGATTTCGTTGCTCCATATCTTAAGCTGACAACTTAGTTATTTCTTTTAATTACTTCAAATTTCTTCAATAAATCCTACTGATATCGTAGTGAACGAGAACACAAGTGGGGACAGTCGGATGTATTTGAATACAAAATTACAGAGCGTTTCAGTAAAATCTGAGAACTGTAGAATAAATACTTTATTTACAAAATGTTAATCAACCGTTTCAGACTTCAGTGTTCTTTCGTTTCCACACCATTCGCTCTCTCTTCTTAGATCTTCTTGACCTTCTGCTGACAGGCACTTCACTTTCGATTGATGATACATACTACTTACATCTGCCGACATCAGTTGCACATACCAAAATATGAGATACGTGTTCAATATAAAACACGGTGTTACAAACAAATTGGAATCGTAACAATTAAACCAATAAACAATAAATTTAAGAAGGGAAAGGGGTAATGTATGGTCTTTAAATGCTTAGTTCGATTAGGATGTAAAATTACAGACAAAATTTTAGTCGATGTATACTTCTACTTGCAAATCTCAAATCAATATATGACATTTAATAGTAACTTAAACTCTACATGAACTATTAGGGCCAAATGATATCTTATAAAAAGTGCGTATCACGGACAGTGGTATATTTTAAATTTCATCACGACCAGAATTTTGCATTTTAACATGCTGGATCGAAGTAATATGGATGATTATTAAATATTTAGCGTATCTCATGTGAAGTTTCGACCAAATTACTACATATTTCACTAATATGACATCATATGTTAAGCAGTCACGTCTATAACGGTAATAATATTTATTGGTAAAGAAAAACCGAAAATGAAAAAGATAAATATGGTGTATGTTACTTATTGTTAGCGGGACATAGACTGGATTAAAGCGTGCTCAATGCACGATCGCTTTGGTACACGCTGATTGGCTAATTCTTATCCAATCAGTGATAGCAAATACTCAGAGAACACTCTAGAATCTTCTCATGTAAAACACTATAAATATACTGACGTTTTTTCCTATTGTGCTTCTTACTGGCATCTTACTTCCATCTAACCTTGTTATTTGGAATATAATCTCTTTCCTGTTCAACCGTGTTCTGATTTGGGGACTTGTCGGGTGAATCGGTGTCCGAGAATACTAAGCAATAGGAATAGATGGGTCATAACCGTAAGTAGAGATTATAACACTTATGTTTGCCGGTATAAGTAATATGTAACACAAATCGGAAGTGGAATGCCTGAGAACCGAAGGCTGACAAGATTGAAACGAAGAGGAGAGAGAAGGAAACTAGAAGCTAACAAGATAACAACAGGAATGAAAGAACAACGAAGTTTGCAAGAAATAAGTGAAAGATGTGCAAATGATGTGTCTAATGTATGGTTTTCATAATTTATGAAGACACTGTAATTTTATGCTAAACAATAAATTGGTGTTCTCCATCTGTGTTCGTTCAGTACATAACAACTGCTTTCACGCATCAAGTTTTCTGAGTAACTCGTTCTACTATATAGATTTAAAATAATAAAGAATGAATACAAACATGCAACGTGTACTCTCTGACTACAGGTGATTTGGAAACACCTTCCTATCTTTGTAAAGACTTCACGTCAAATATCGTTGTAGCATGCATTCAATTTAGATTAATTTACTAAGGCCAAACTCGAAAGCATCAAAGCTAAATTACTTAAGGTACTCACTGCATATATAATAAAGAGGTAGTCTACGTACAGATAAATATGATGGGATAAGATAGGTCAATATTTTTTGTATCAATTTAGACCAGGATGACATATATGAACTTCGTTCAATGTGACAATTATATTCCACTGACCAAATAAGGTGAACTGTATATCGTTAAGATAAAATTTTCAATGTATCGTCGGGCTGAGAACAGTTAACTACCACGTCGCCTGAAAACGAAAAGCAGTTTGTCCTGATAATCACTGATGATCCCAAATAAAATATGTAGTTGGATTGAATAAAAGTAGTTAATCGACACATCTATTGACTACTGATCTGAAGCGTTTGGTGAGTTACATGTAGATGAAGTCAACTACAAAAACTGATGGTGACAAGCATATATAATGGATTTATAACCTATTCATATGCTGAGGTCTCAACATTTCTTAAAACAAAAAGAGAAAACCAACAGCAATATGGATCAAAGGAAGTAGTGAAGATACGGTGATAATGTTACAGATTTATAAGACAATTAAGACTGATTTTGTTTTGAACCACTATGATCAACACTATAAGAGATTTCCAACTTTTCTTTACCATCTAACACTAAAATTAAGAATTTAGGACTAAATATATTTCAAAGGTTATAATTTTTAGGAATGGATTTTCAGTCGATCATAATTACTAAAAGTACTTACAATAAAAAAGCCGAACATATAAAAAATAGATAAATAAAGAACAGCATTTTCACACGAAAAAAACCTAACATGCATCATTATATGACTTACATTCTGATTTACAATAGCACTAGTAGTAGGAATCATGTTACTAGAGCTTGAAGTAGGGGTTATCGGTGATGGTCTAGCCATTAAGTTTTCTGCTGCTAAATCTGGAACACCTGTAGCTAAAAGCTCAGCAATTATCACAGAACGTGGGAATTGTGGGAACATATTGGTTAATTGGTCAACAGCAGAACGTAGATATAATGGTAATACATTCAAATCACTATTCCCATTAAACATAGAATTATGAACATTAGTATGATTAAAACCTGTCGTTTGTTGACCATTTGTTGGATTATTCAATTCGTTAATTGCACTGTAGGGTTGAATTCCACCAACATGAAATACCTCACGAAATACCTGTAGCAATAAAAAGTGTCTGTCAAATCCAAGATAATAAATACGTACAATTAAATTTATATGGTTCAATAGATGATTTTTTTTTTCAGAGCAGATTGGCTACAATCTACTAAAATTCTAATGAACTACAGTGAAAAATAGTTACCATAATATTTGAAATCGTCAACAATTTATTCTTAGTTAATAGATTTCATAAGAAAAACAAAGTAGAGTTGATTTTGCATGCATCAGTTGTAAACGACACGTACTGAATTTAAAAGTACTGACACTAAAATTTAATTGCTTAAAATCTTGGTTTGTAGGTAGGAAGCTCAACTTACTACTTGAATGTTTAAAATCAAGAATCTAAAATACTGGGTAACAGTTAACCGGTTTAAGAATCACAATTTTTATTATATGTTATCTATACTGACCGAAAGCTGTTTTATTGTTACAATAGTAGCTGAGCAAGTTTGTTGCATCAGAAATTTGAAGTTAACTTCGAAAAACGGACTAACAGATTAAATTAGACGAGAACTAAATGAACACTTATTATTATAAAATCATTGCACTAATTGTGTGTCACAAAAATAGTAAAATACCATAACTCATATGAGTAGAGCGTGAAAAGCACTTAATTAGGTGGTAAACTAATATCCTAACCGTCGCTTAAGCCTTGGCGTGATGGTCGGGCTTGCATTATCGTGATGATTCGATAGAAGTAAACTGACCAAGCATTCGTTAATTTAGGTCTTACCGTTATAGTCATGTTGGTTGTTGAGTGGTAAGAATAAAAACACCAAACCTGTGGTCCGAGGGTGTAGCAGTACTATCAGCTATATGTTGCTTTCCCTCAAACAACCAGAATCTGCAGCTATGTTGTTTTCCTACAATGGAAAGAGGGGGTTTGTAAAGATCAACTTTAAGGGCAACACATTTCAACTTGCCCGATGGATTTCGGTCACTGGCAGTTGGGACCTTAAAATTAAGAACCTAACTCAAACAAAACTACTCGGAGAGTGAGTGTGTGTGTAGTTTCGTGCACTAGTCACGCCACCGGTAATTCAAGACTATTCCTAATCCAGATTCTGTTCTACGTCCCTAAAGAAGAAATATTCTACCACAGTGTGAGAAACCAAGAAGTGAAAACCACATCAACCCATTTATAATGAAATTCCAAATTCATTACTAAATCTTTCCGCCTTTTCCAATAAATAATATTATCTTCGACTTTTTTCACATATGCTATCAGTTCCAACAATTCAAGTTCAAAATATGCTACAAAAGGTCTCCTGAAAAACCTTATTAAACTACATGCTCGAACTTTACATCGAATCGGAGAACAAGCATCACTAGCAAAGACCCTAGAGTTTCATGCTATGGATGTATGCTGTCTTCGAAAAATGTATCAGTCAGTTAGTCGGTAACAACGTAGAACTTTGTACGTACATACATCAATTCGAGTTTCCATACCACATTAGCACAGAGATGCAGTTGTCGATTCAAATCCCGTAGTGGTAGAGGTAGTAAGAGTATAAGCAGTAATCCGAAAGATTAGGGTTTGAAGATGTTATTCAAGAAGTATAATCTAGTGAAAGAAATTTGGGAAGAGAAAACAGAAAGGGACATGAAGAATTCAGAAGATTAGAATTCGGGAGAACACAAAGAGTTTGCACCTGTGCCATTGCAAACGATTTTGAGTCATGTCATTCAGGGTCTCTAACCATCGGTTGCTATTGTCCTGCAGATCCCAACTAGGTAGTCTGCACCTACAAACATGGCTCAGCCCACTTGCTAGTGATTTCATGGACTTGTGCCATGTTTTGGTCTGGCCGCCCGTAGCTTTCTTCCAACCTACCCCTACAGCATAAAACATCACACGTCGAGACAGTCGGTGGTTGGGCATACGTAACATGTGTCCCAGCCATCTCAACTGATCGAGTTTCACTACTTCATCAATTGACTTGCCATCCTTACCTAGTACCCGTTTCCTAACAACTGCATTACTTACTCGGTGGTCCCAGGATATACGAGCAATGTTTCGAAGATATCTATGATCGAATACCAGTAACCTACGAATATCCACTACTCTTACCGGCCATGTTTCACAGCCATAAAGTAGGATGGAACGATTTGCTACAGGTCTACATAAGCTCTCACTCGACTAGTTGTGTACAGGATCCCAAAGTGGATTTTTTTATTACTTTAACACAGATATTGGTACAAGGAGGCACCAAATACATATGCGCCATACAAATCTCATTTGATTTGTGTGAGGGGTGTGATACTGCTCGTGTGCCCGAACCGAAGCAGGTGGCTTTCTTAGGGGGCCACACCCGGAGCCTTTGACCTTAAGGTCTAATCCACAAGCCAGTGGAGATGCAGTCCCATGATAGCCGGTGACCAACGATTGGTTCATATGCCGTTTATTACTTCAGGGTACTGAAGCCCATGTGCACCACTGGTTTAGAATCAGGGTTTTCCAACTTCCCTAGGTGGAATCTCCATGTCCACCAACCCGGTTAATGCACTGGATATTCGCTTTTCGTCCTCTCAATTTCGTAAACAACACCCCCCCCCGCGAAAAGGCAGTGAACAGGACTTCCCTGGCAGTGGTTGTATGCACGTGGCCATGTGAGAGCGTTTCGAGAGGGATAGCGGACTCTCCCCACTCTCGACCGTACCAGTGCATTTGGGGGCACACTGTATAGCTTTCAGGAATGAAGTAGTTCAACACTTGGTTGATCAAGGGGTTCAATACGAAGGGACTCGGCGCGATAACCAAACAACTGTAAATAAATAATAGATATTAGTCACTAAGTTGTATTAAAAAGTTAGGAAAGACCAATGCATTCATATGCCACCTAATGAATTAATAGATGTTCCAAAACTCATCCTAGAAGGCTTAATGAACATTGAAGAACGAAGAATTATTAAACGTAGACGAACACAATTGTTATGCAACGATCGTGACCAGTGGTGGGAACCACAGAGGTCTAAAAAGGCTTTGGCAATACGTAACACTAAACAACTCATCAGACCCGTCAACGAAATAGGCATTAAAAAGGCAACTAATAGTGATACTATTTCGGGAGAAGACAGCAATAATATTCAGTTTCAGTTTAGCAGATTAGGACGATGAATAGGACAGTTTAAGAAACAGATCATCTGAACTCCAGTGACTATTAAGTTAGCCAGGATCTCTAAACAACTTGGTGAGGTTGAAAAAAGTTATAACTGATCTAAGAAGCGAAAAAGAAACAGATTCTTACACGTTAACTCTAGAGATCTTTAAGGAGGATAGTCGAATGGTAGTTGACTGAGATACTAGAGTCTGGGAGCTGGACGTAATTCTATCGGACTGGTCTCAATCGCTGATCGTTCCAATTTATAAGAAAGGATATAAACACTATTACAATAATCATAGAGGAATCAGTATGACCGTGGAAAATAATTGTCTTTATAATCATCCTACGCTTGGTTAGGATTCGTCAATGACATGAAAATCAGGATGATTTCAAATATGGACGTAGATGTATTGACCGAATATTTACTTTTCGTTAGGTTTCAAAAAAAAAACAGGGATACTCACTGACATCCGATTATAGTGGCATTTCGTGACCTCAAGGCAGCATTCAATTCTACTGAAGATAAGTAAACATCAGTGTATATCTAATAGAATCCACAATTAATTCAACATTCTGCTAAATTCGATAAATACACATATCATTAATGAGGTTAATATAGCTTCGGAAAAACTTAAATTTAATTATTTTGTCGATATAATGACAACTCTTAGCGTTTACATGAAGATAAATATGACCGTATTACATATCTACCGCAATCAAGAATTTATCCGCTTGATATATAATTGATTTAATTATTTAATAAAATAAATTATCCCACAAAACAACTTACTTCAGACAGTTCAACATGTAAAGATGGTAACCAGGAGAAATAGCGTGATCCATCAAAATGGAAAGATCTACGTCTAATTTGGTCTCTAGCTTCATTTCCTGGAGCAGTTTGCTGATTTTACATGGAAATAAAAAACAATAGATACAGATGACTCGATAAAATATCAGTAAAACTACCCAAATCAATAGTGATGAAAAGACAAAGATCGATAATTTTAAGTGAAATGACTGTGTGTATACGGCCAAGGCATGGAATGTTCACGTGTAATCGTAATTAAAAGGACTTTTAGACATTTTACAGAAAAAAGAAGGAAATAAAATTATAAAAAAATTAAAAATTTTTTCAGCAATAAACATTTGTAAACTTTTTTAAAGACCGAAATAAGCTTTTACAAATTCAATGGACTAAACAGAAATAAAATTACCACAAACAGACAATTTAATTAAAATTTGGTATTTAGAAACAAATCGAATCGTATAAGTTGTGCGTGTACATCTCATCAAAAGTGAAATTATGTCAGGACTCAAGAGTGTAAATAACATGAAGAACAATTCCTAACGAAAAGTTTGGAGATCGTATCCAACTACAGATATGATGGTACATTGAGAAACATATCTGTTTGCTACAGATTTGTAACGCACGTACAGCAATATCAAATTAAAAAGTAACAACCCTAGTAATCTAGGAAGTACGCTCACTTGCCTGCCATTTTAAGAAAAGTGGACTCATATTTATGGCCAAGGATTATTTGGCTTTTATGTCTTTCCAAAACGACGTCCAGCCTAATTACTTAAATTACGGTATAAATATTGAAAGTAACTGGAGGTAACCCAAGATAGCCTATTTCACAGAATATTAGTTCAGAAGTCTAAACTATTTTACAGAGATGTAAACAGATTTTGAAGTGTTCTATATGGGAATACTCCGATGTTTTGAAAGAGATAAGTGCTTTTTTATTTTTCTCGTTCAAATCCCATCAGCCAATCGCCTTAGTACTTAGTAAATATGAGCGAATAGTAGCACAGACAGACAAACCGTTTTTAAAGCACATTACCCGAAAGCTTTTACCACATCCCCTTTTCATGATCCCTATAGTCCACAAAAATGCATGGTTTATGTTTGTTAAGATGAATGAAGTTACTAATTATAAAAAAGGTGCCCACTTCACTTACATTGCCAGTATGAGATCAGATGATAAGCACACCCTACTGAGTGAAATCTGTAGACTTTATGACTCATACAGTTTGTAACTAATCGTAATGCATTTCTAAAAATTTCCTGTAACTGTACATTGGTATGGCTCAGTCAAGCATTTAATTAATAGATTATTTTTACATATAGAACATATAGAAAGGTAAGTTAATGACATCAAAATTTAAGTGTTTGAAAGGATTTATAGATTGGGTGTATGATATACATTCTAGAAATCTGTATCATCAAGAGAACACAAAGAAACGAATACTAGCATGGTTCGTAGATCGTACACTTATGAAGACAACTGCATATTTATATGCACATTGTATTACTGAACACAATCTTATCTCGACTGTAGTATCTCAGATTACAGAAATACCGAAAACTAAATCTTACAGCTACACTGGATAAAACGTGACAGTTGAAATATTTCTTTTAATTACTTAGTTCTGGCTATGTAATCCTTGGAAAACAACGTTATGATTAATATTTACTCAGCATGCATATTTTTCCTGATGCATAAACATGGAAGCCTCTCAAAAATGGATGCCACAAATCGCAATAAGACGAATACTGCTTAATCACTAAATCTTTTTCAACCTAATAGACCTAAATGTGGTTTGGGAACTTACAACTATTAGTGTTGAATTTGAGAACTTATGAAAAATAATAGAAACCGACTACTGATAGTTTCAACATAAAAACTACTTACATTTTGGTCATCAGTATGCGTTGCTTCTCGTACAGATGAATTGTCCTCATTCTGTGTGTGGACATTTGGTGTTTCTTCAGTCTGTGAGCCAGAAATACTAGCAACAGAACCTTGAGTGCCTGATTCGCGAGGTAGTGCATTTAGTGCAGCCGCTTGAGCGGCAGCAGCGACAACTGGAGCAGAACCAATACTTAATCCAAGATTTAACCCTACGGCCGTAGCGAACATCCTGGAAATGCCAGACGTTTGGTTAGGTTGAATTGCATTATGAGGTGCAATCAGTGGCTGTACATTATTGACTCCGTTACGATTAGTTGCACCTTCGTTTCCAACATTATTGAACAAGTTTCGAACAAGCATACCAAATGCTACGTTTTCCGACCGTTGTGTCCTGTTATGATTGTGAAGAAGTATAGGAGGTATGCCCAAATCACGCCGACAAGTAGGACAACTTGGATTCTGTTCAAGCCAAGCACGAAGGCAGTGTTCGTGGAAATCATGACGACATGGTAATCGACGCCAATCTGTCATAACATCCCAACATATTGCACAAATAAGTGCAGATTGATTTTCGTTATCAATGTAGAACATTTGTGAAGTCTTATCGTTTGTTTCTGTTGTTCCACTAGCACCCTTGGAAGCGACCTGGAAATGGAAATATAGATATGAAAAGCATAGAAAGGACATGAAATTGTCTAATGAAGTGGACATCGATGAACTTTTTTTGTAACTTAAAACTACTAAAAAGATGTATAGATGAAAAGTCGACAAGCAGCTATTCGCACTCAATTGTGACACTTTGATTTGTATGAATGAGTAAACCAAATTCTCGAAAACTACAAAACCAAGTCACATAAGTGTTCCTGACCATAGGTATCTGGGTAAGAGCAATAGTGAATAGGGAATAGTTACGAAACTAATAACGAGAAAACAGTGAGTTTATGGTTTAAATAATAAATTTAGTGGACTTAAGATATCAAAACATCATTAATATTACTAACTGAATACCAAGTACAGATTCATTAATACATAACAACTGTGAGGGCTAGTGACACCGTCTGGTTTACTAAACCAAAGCAAGTGGAGTGAGATTAGAGCCTGAGACTAAGTAGCTAAAAATCGAAAGTTTTAAACTCTGAGCTACCGCTTTAATGAATCCAAATATAAGATCGATTCGATCATCTCTGTTTTTCCAATACCGCACAGCAGTTCGTTCCATTTTAATTTACAGCTGTAAAGCGTGGCCATTAAGGGTAGAGGATACTCGTAAGTTACTAGTATTTGATCACACACGTCTTAGAAATATTACTCGCATCTGGTTAGATTCAATGTATTAGGGAATGATGGTAAATCAGCTGATGATGTAAATCTTCATCGGTTGAGATGGTTGGGTCACGTATTACTCATCCCCAACCACTGATTACCACGACGCACAATACTGACAAGCGTTGGAAACGGTTGGAAGAAAGTTAGGGGCGGCCAAACCAAAACGTGGCATCAGTCCTTGAAGTCACTAAATTCTGGTCTGAGCCATGTTCGTAGATGCAGACTATTTGGTTGGGGTCCATGTGACAATCGTAACCAATGGCTGAGACTGGGCGACATGACTCAGAACCGATGAGTCGGTGTATACACTCTTTGTCTAGCCTTAAACCGTGAGATTAAATTGCTTTCTAATTTTTATTCTACGAACTAATTCTTTCTGTATCGCGTTCTTATATGCGGTCTTTTTATATATTAATACCCTTGAACTGCTTCTATGAATTTGCCGTTCATTTTGTTGTGCTAATGAGTGGCAACTTGGACGGATGCATATATGTGCTGACTGACTGACATCCTAATACCTCTCATCCTGTAACGAACCTATTCTCGTTGAGTTAATTAGCTTTCCCAACCTAAATATCCTATTTTACTTGATCTCCTGGTAGATCAATGCCCGAAAATTCAGTCGACGAGAACGTTATTTCTAGCATTAGGTCTATGATGAAATTAAACAAAAATGGAGATAATGGACAACCTTTACGGACACCGTTTGAGGTTGCAAAATCAGTTGAGAATTCGCTATAAGCTCTGATTAGACTGGTAGTGTTCGAACAAAGATTCTTCACAAGGTTTATTTACATCTAAACCGACCATAGCTGCAAGCTTGACGTGGTGGTCGGGCTTGCCTATCGTAATGAACCAGTCGAGCGATACTGGTTGGAACAATCCTTCATCAAGGTCTTACCATGCCTAACAGGTCGGCGGTAAAGAGATAAAACTGAAGGGCGGTAAGATTGAAAGCAGCAATCCAAAGGTCCGAGGACGAAGTCATACGTCTGAATGTACAGATCTGTGGCGGCAGTAAAGTATTCCCTGCAGACAACTAGCACAACAGCGATGATGCCTTCCCACAAAGGAAGGGTAGGGTTGAAGAAGGTCGATCCTAAAAATGCACACTTCGTCATATCCCACGGATATCCGTCTCCGGAGGTAGGGACCCAACAAGTACGGAGCTAACACGAAAATCACTCACAAAGAGGTCGTGTGGCCGACCTCAAGCACTTGTCCCTTGGGCACTGCGGTCACACTCTCAGGTCACTAAGACTACCCCTAACACGATTTCATTCTCAGGTACCTGCAGAAGAATACTTTTTCGGTGTAGGCAACCGGGAAGTGATAATTGCCCTCATACCTCTAAAAACTCAAGATCAATGATAGGCAATATGAAGGCTTTAAACGATCAAGTTAAAGAGCTGTACGAAAGTGAAACGGCAATATCAAATTCGCTAAGAATTAACAGCGGTTTTTAGGTCCCACACAAACGTTTCACTACAAATACTTCTGGAGCGACCATAGCTGCTACCTTGACGTGGTGGTCAGGCTTGCCTATCGTGATAACACGACCGAGACATATAGGCTGGAACATATGTTTCTGTAGGTTCCACCATACCAGGCAGGTCGACTGGAGAACGGTAAGACTAAAAGCAGCAACCCAAGAACTGAGGGCTAAGTCTCACCGCTGACTGTAGAAGGGTGTGATAGCAATAAGGTGTTCCCATTGGGCAACAAGCATCTGCATTGACGCTGCCTTATCACAAGGAAGGAAAGGGTAAGATGTCAACCTTTAAAATGTCAAACCTCACCTTACCTCACGAATTTCCGTCTCCGGTGGTAAGGCCTTTTAAAAAACGGAGCTAACAGGTTAAAAACTCCCCACAAAAAGGCCGTACATGACCGGTTTCACGCAGTTGTCCCTTGGGCTCTGCGGTCGTTAAGACCAACACTAATCCAACTTCCTTTCCAGGTTCCTCAAGAAATATCATTCCACATTTTGGGCAGCCGGGAAGTGACTTCAGCCCTCATACCCGTAACAACACACGAGACTAAGTTGCTCACAATCAAATCCTTCTTACATCTAATAACTCTCTTATCTCCACAACTAACTCTTCTGACGTTCGTTTATAACCTCACACCGCGAATGCAAACGATTCGAGTACGCGGAACGTTATTCCCGGTCTCCTGAAGCCACGCACTAAACTACATGTAGGAGCTTTTAACGTCCGAACACTGTAAAATAAGACAGCAGGCTTCCTTAGCTAGGACTTTAGAATCTCGCACCATCGACGTGTGCTGCGTCTCTGAAACGCACATACAGGACCCGAGTAGCGTTATTCATTTGATCTCATATCTGGAAGCCCTGATGCTGCTTCCCGTGGCCTGGCTGGTGTAGGTATAGCATTGAGTCCTAGGGCAGAACTAGCTCTCCTAGACTGGATCCCAGTAGGCAGTCGTTCGTGCGCTGTCCAACTAAACGGGACAGTGAAGACTCAGAAAGATAGAGACACTCTTCGTTGCATCTTCGTTGTTTCTGCCTACTCTCCCACTGACTGCATCTCAGATGAGTTTTACAAGAAGTTTTCTGACCTCGTTCAAAAAGTTAAGCGCTCTGACAAAGTAATAGTGGCTGGTGACTTTAATGCTCAGGTAGGCAAACTAAGCGAAAAGACACCTGGGTGGATCTTATGATGTCGTGGCTCATAGACAGAAAATGGCGACTGACTGTTACAGCCATGCTCAGATAGCTGCCCGTTTCTAGTAACTAAAAACTTTAAGCACAAGAAAAACATATTTTGACAAGGCGACCTCCGAATTAGTCCCAACGCCATGCCCAACTAGATCACATCGATATCAGCCAACGATGTAGGGGCTCGATAGAAGACTCGCTCGTTCTGGAGCACAGACTTCGATTCAGATAATGCTCCAGTGCGAGCGCGTATTTGTCTGCATCTTACTGGACGTAGGAAAGACGCTGTAGGGAAACCTCTTAGGGTTCTACTTAATGATAGCCAAGCTGATAATATATTTCAGGAACAACCAGAAAAACGGTAAGCAACCATGTAGGTGATGCCCATCCCGAGGCAGCTTGGAATGATATCTCAAAAGCTGTGAAAACAGCGGTGATTCCCTTATTTATTTTAACACAAATATTGGTACAAGAGGGCACCAAATATATATGCGCCACACCATATTTGTGTGTGTAGGCTGTGATACTGCTCGGGTGCCCAGACTGAAGCAGGTGGTTTTTTTAGGGGCCCACACTCGGATCCCTTGACCTAAAGGTCTGATCCACAAGCCAGTGGAGCATTGTGAGGAGATGCATTCCCATGGTAACCGGTGACCAACGATTGGTTCATACGCCATTTGTTCCCGCAGGATACTGGAGCCCATGTGCACCATTGGTTCGGAATCCGGATAAAGCGCCGGACATTGGCTTTTCATCCTCTCATTTTCGTAAACAACACTTATGCCACAAGAGGGGAGTGAGTAGGACTTCCCTGGCAGAAGCTGTATACACTTGGCCGTGTGAGAGCATTTCGAGGAGGGCGGGCCAACTTATCTTGGAAGTCTCACCAGCCCTTGTAGTCTGGTGTGTCACGAAATCTCAGCACGGATACAGAAAACTCGACCAGCGTTTGCCAACTTGCGTCATTTATGGCGCAGGCGAGATATCCCTCTACCAACCAAAGGACTGGTTTATTGTGCAGCCGTTCGTTCCATCCTACTTTATGGCTGTGAAACATGGCCGGTAAGAGTAGTGGATATTCGTAGGTTACTGGTATTCGATCATAGATATCTTCGAAACATTGCTCGTATATCCTGGGACCACCGAGTAAGTAATGCAGTTGTTAGGAAACGGGTACTAGGTAAGGATGGCAAGTCAATTGATGAAGTAGTGAAACTCGATCAGTTGAGATGGCTGGGACACATGTTACGTATGCCCAACCACCGACTGTCTCGACGTGTGATGTTTTATGCTGTAGGGGTAGGTTGGAAGAAAGCTACGGGCGGCCAGACCAAAACATGGCACAAGTCCATGAAATCACTAGCAAGTGGGCTGAGCCATGTTTGTAGGTGCAGACTACCTAGTTGGGGTCTGCAGGACGATAGCAACCGATGGTTAGAGACCCTGAATGACATGACTCAAAATCGTTTGCAATGGCACAGGTGCAAACTCTTTGTGTTCTCCCGAATTCTAATCTTCTGAATTCTTCATGTCCCTTTCTGTTTTCTCTTCCCAAATTTCTTTCACTAGATTATACTTCTTGAATAACATCTTCAAACCCTAATCTTTCGGATTACTGCTTATAATCTTACTACCTCTACCACTACGGGATTTGAATCGACAACTGCATCTCTGTGCTAATGTGGTATGGAAACTCGAATTGATGTATGTACGTACAAAGTTCTACGTTGTTGCTGACTGACTCAAAAGATAATGAATTGGTGACAAAGAACATCGGCGCAGATCAATAAACAAGCATGTTAATATAGAGCCTGGCACAAATGTATGTAAGCGAGCAACATAGTCAACCAATTCACCCCCTATTATTAAATTGTGCGATGAGACAAACCAGTACTCAAGGAACATTTACGGTCGGGTGAAGATAAACGCAATCTAAACACATTTATATTGCTATACAGTGTGACCCCAAATGCCCTGGTACGGTCGAGAGTTGGGAGAGTCCGCTATCCCTCTCGAAACGCTCTCACATGGCCACGTGCATACAACCACTGCCAGGGAAGTCCTGTTCACTGCCTTTTCGCGGGGGGGTGTTGTTTACGAAATTGAGAGGACGAAAAGCGAATATCCAGTGCATTAACCGGGTTGGTAGACATGGAGATTCCACCTAGGGAAGTTGGAAAACCCTGATTCTAAACCAATAGTGCACATGGGCTTCAGTACCCTGAAGTAATAAATGGCGTATGAACCAATCGTTGGTCACCGGCTACTATGGGACTGCATCTCCTGACGTCGCTCCACTGGCTTGTGGATTAGACCTTAAGGTCAAAGGCTCCGGGTGTGGCCCCCTAAGAAAGCCACCTGCTTCGGTTCGGGCACCCGAGCAGTCTCACACCCCTCACACAAATCAAATGAGATTTGTATGGCGCATATGTATTTGGTGCCTCCTTGTACCAATATCAGTGTTCAAATGAATAAAATACACCCAAAGCCATCAAAAGATTTCATTTTTTAAGTCTTCATCAAATAGAATTATGTCGTTCAGGTATTCTAACCCAATAAGTAGACCTCCTGACAGATCAATCTTTGAAATGTTAGATAAAGAAAGTGTGGTTTCTAAGATGGCATCCATGGGGAAATTAAATAAAAAGTGATAGTGGTCAGCCCTGATGAATACACGTTGAGGTTGACTATTCTGGTAGCACTACTTCATAAGCTTTGATTCAATTAATAGTACAAAGTCTACACCACCATGCCAACAACCAATCAATTACTTAAATATTATTTAATATTCAAAATATTTTCAACTCAGATAATTAATTCAGTACCTATACACAAGTGGATTTCCATTATAACAACTAGCCTACGACAAGACTACTGGTATATATACGTACTAAAAGATAACTAGCATTCAAATGGAACAAGTAATTATTCAATGCAAAGTAGTTGCTAGTGTTTACATTTGTTTAAAAAAATAGTACAATTTGATTAAGAATCAAACTAACTCACATAATACCCTGTCTTGCAAGCCTGGTAGTTTTCATTGATGTATTTCATTAGTCGTCTTTGTGCTAGGTGGCGAGATATACTGTTGGCCAAATTTGAGTAAGATACACGTATATGCAAGAAAACAACAAGGCTAGCGACAGAAAACACTCTACTCCATAATAGAAGATGTAGATAGTGTGTTATTTCTGTTAGCCGGTAAAAGCATGTGAAAAAAAGCTCATAATAGTACGTAACTGTTGAATGGTATTGCCAGCTTTGACCATTGCGTAGACACCAACGGTCATATGTTTGTATGATTAATCCACAAACGAGATGTGATATTGTACACATCAGAAGAGCAAACTCAGATATAAGTAGGGCGACAACATCAACAGCATCATACAAAAGCTCCTTTTTCCCTGTTATTTTAGCTTTCAATGCACCTAACACAGTTGGTGTTTTGAGGCCAGTTAAGAAGGAATTCCGCGAATGAACATCTAAAAAGTCTCCACTAGTTGAGACATCTATGTCTGCCAACGTGAAGCAGTTTTCCAAACCGGCTTTAAGTAAGTACCAATTTGCAAAAGAAATGATAATTAACATACAGTATATCCGCAACCACTGGCGCATGTTTACGGCACCAGAAGCCGACATTTGGTTACATCTGGAAGAAGCCACAGATGTTAACATGTGCAACACACCGAGAATACTGAACCAACAAAGCCATCCCAAGAGACTTGTCAGTCGAGAAGGATTAATTGCGCCGGAAAGTATGATAAAATGGAAAAGAACAAAACGAAAGAGAGACTTGGAAAGGGATACTCTTTCAGCAGATGTCAGGCTTCCGAAAAACATAACTACAGCTACTTTCCAAAGAACCAAAAGAACTGCAAACAGCCCCAGGACAAGTGATATAAAAGTTGATATATTTTCGATTGGTGAAGAAGCATTATCGTCAAGTTCCGAATCTGAACTGGTATCATTTGATAATGTCAACACTTCCAACGTTTCTGAGTTTTCTTCAGGGTGGAGTATGGACTCGAGTACACAAAACGCTGAAAGAATGGCGGAAACTGACAGAAATAAGCAAATTTCAGTACGAAAAAGCCACATCACGGCACTCTCAGCAATTCTATAGAACCGTCTGCAACACAAAGTTAACTTATGAATTATCATTCGTTATTCTTGTTGTTTCAAAGACCCAAGACGATTCAATCTTCAATTAACCTCCCGAATATCACGACTCTTTTAGTCAGGCGTTGAGCGACATGTAGTAAGTATACTTGCAGTGTTAGATTAGTGACTAGCGGAAATAATCTTCCTAGCAGAGATACACAACCTGCAAAATAGAAAACACGAAGACTAGCATAAGTTTATTGGATTCTGGCTTTTACATAACATCCATAGTCAGATATAGCTTACTGTAACAGAATAAACTGTCTACAGTGCGAAGATACTAGTGGTATGTCTAAATACTACACACTAAGACTTATTCTGGACCAGTATTTGGAAATTAATGATGTGGTATGATACAAATGTGGAATTTAAGGCTATTATATCCCAAAGTGTTAACAGTTAAAATGGTTGTCGGCCGGACTGAAGTTTTCGTCAAATACTCTTCCGTGCCTAGAAGAAATGGACTATCAGTGTGATGCAGGTAGGGATCAATTTATACAAAATAACAAGGATTAAGAACGTGATATGCTATTTAAAGTTTTATTTTAGGAAACTCCGAGGAACTTGTTCACTCTTCAGATGGCAGTGAATTCATAAACTTGACTACCAGTGAACAGCAAAAGGCAAACCAAGCTCAAACAGCTACTTTGTATATATGGCTTTTAATTATTTCTCCTAGGATTTTTATGACGGCCTGATCTGTGAAAGCGATCCATAGGATAGTTTCGGGTGGTTATGATGTAGATTTTTCTGACGTCACCTCTAAATCGCGGAGAATATTGGTGGGCGGCTTACGCTACTCCGGGAGCAGTAACAAGCGTAAGTCTGGACTATATATTCTGGGGTATAGATCTAATGGCTTCAGGTGTTCCTGGAAGGATCTGAACTGAAAAATGAAGGGTGGTTTGGCGTTTCCCTGTATAAAAGACGACTATTTGTGTAAAAGGAGGAATCACATTATATTCTATGAAGGGCCAGACAAAGTCTCACATCAAACTGGTCAAAAATGGGCCTTGAGGTTACTTATGTAGTGTTGAGTCTATAGACGTTTTTTCACAGTTAATATACGATATCTAAGTTTTCTCAAATCATAAATAGATTTTTGGTGAATTAACTAGATTTTCGTTTCATACCTCGAGTATCTTAATTCTCACTTCAAAGAGTTGAGATTTAGACCTTAATCCCATCAAATTCAGTCAGTAATACACATTCGATAATATTAGGTTAGCAGCTTCAGTGAGTGACTTCTAAAAAAGAAGTCAACAGTCACTGACATGACTAGGAAAAATATCAAAATTAGTCTACGTTTGGCAAGCCATTACGACACACCTACACAACGTAACATAAGCGACTTACGGACAGATTTCAGTATATCCCAATGTCCTCTTTAAGTTACAAGGTCATAGAACGCATGTTCAATTTAAAAAGGCTCATAAACAGATTCAAATTTTGTATCGTTAGCAGAAGTCAAACAGGCTTAGTTGCTCCTTTTTTAGCGAATTTCTTTGATTGCTTAAACCAAACGCTTCCCGATATATCGATAGTGTTTAAGACATATATGAACCTCTCCGTCATTCAACTCAGACTGGAGTCCATCCGGGGGCTACTGCCGGTCCCAAGCCTGGATAAAGGAGGAGGGTTGGGCATAGGATTAGCGTCCCCATTCCTTAGAAAACTGGCTCACTAAAAAAACGCTAACCAGAAAAAATTATTCAAACATTTTAAACTCTGCCCTGGGAGTCAGAAGGTCTTCATTTAGAAGAACTATGACGCCTCATGATGAAAGCCAAATTCCTTCGGAAGTTACGAAACCGATGCCCCTTCTGACAACCAGAGCGACCATTTATTTAGGTACATGGAATGTTCGTACAATGTGAGACACCGGGAGAGCCCTCCGAATTGCTGCAGAAATGAGGAGATACAACCTAGAGGTACTTGGGATCAGTGAAACACATCGGACGCAAGTTGGACAACAACGACTAACTTCAGAAGAGCTTCTGTTATACTCCGGCTATGAAGAAGAAAATGCCCCACATACACAAGGAGTTGCATTGATGCTGTCCAAACAAGCACAAAATGCACTTATAGGATGGGAATCTCATGGACCAAGGACCATCAAAGCCTCATTCAAAACAAAGAAAGAGTGCATTTCAATGAACATTATCCAATGCTATGCGCCCACCAACGATTACAATGAAGACGCTAAAGATCAATTCTGCAATAGGCTACAGTCAATCATCGAGAAGTGCCCAACTAAGGACCTGACCATTCTGATGGGAGACTTCAATGTCAAGGTTGGAACGGACAACACTGAATATGAAGACATCATGGGACGACAAGGACTGGGAGAAAGAAACAAAAATGGTGAGAGATTCGCAACCCTATGTGCCTTCAATAAACTGGTCATAAACGGTACCATATTCCCACATAAACGCATTCACAAAATCACATGCACTTCACTGGATCACACCGCGCAAAACCTAATCGACCATATTTGCATCAACAAAACGTTCAGAAGGAAGATGGAACACGTGAGAACCAAGTGATGAGCTGATATAGCATCAGATCATCACTTGCTGGCCGACAAGATGAAGTTGAAACTCAAGAAACACTGGACAACGGGGCAGACAATATCACAAAAGTTCAATACGGCCTTTCTTCGGGATACTAACAAACTCAACAAATTCAAGATAGTCCTCAGCAACAAGTTCCAGGCCTTTCATGATCTACTGAATGGAGAAGGAACTACTATGGAGAGCAACTGGAAAGGGATCAAAGAGGCAATCACTTCAACATGTCATGAGGTCCTGGGTCACAAGAAGCGCCATCACAAGGAATGGATCACTGTTGATACACTGGAAAATATTCAAGAAAGAAGGAACAAGAAAACAGCAATCAATACCAGCCGAACTAGAGCAGAAAAAGCCAAGGCACAAGCTGAATACACAGAAGTAAATAAACAAGTGAAGAGGAGCATCAGAATCGACAAACGTAAATATGTGGAAGATTTAGCAACGACGGCTGAAAAGGCTGCAAGAGAAGGAAACATGATACAACTGTATGACATAACAAAGAAACTCTCTGGAAATCGCCGCAAAACTGAACGACCAGTGAAAAGCAAGGAACGCGAGGTAATCACCAACATTGAAGAGCAACAAAACAGGTGGGTAGAACACTTCAAAGAACTCTTGAATCGACCAGCTCCACTGAACCCACCCAACATTGATGCAGCACCCACGGAGCTCTCAATCAATGTTGGCCCACCAACAATTGAAGAAATCAGCATGACCATCAGACAAATCAAGAGTGATAAAGCAGCAGGACCGGATAACATTCCAGCAAAGGCACTGAAAGCAGACGTAGCGGCAACTGCAAGGATACTCCACATTTTTTTCAATAAGATTTGGGATGAGGAACAAGTACCAACAGACTGGAAAGAAGGACTTCTGATCAAAATACCGAAGAAAGGCGATCTCAGCAACTGTGATAACTACAGAGGCATCACTCTTCTCTCAATACCAGGAAACGTCTTCAACAGGGTATTGTTAAACAGAATGAAGGACTGCGTAAACGCCCAATTTCGTGACCAATAAGCAGGATTCCGTAAAGATAGATCTGTGGTGTGAGCTACTTATATTGATATAAGTAGTATATGACGCGTTCAAAGAACGTAATGTCTGGCAGCGGAAGATGGCGAAGATCAAGAAAGATAGAGCGAGAACACAATGGAATTTGTAAGAAAATGCATGGACAATGGATTGGTGTATGCAACAGAAACAGTCCACTTTCGTTTGATGCATGAATATTTTGCAAATTGACGATTTACTGTATGGTATTCAGATTTTGTTGAGATAGACTGTAATTGTTGTGCTAAATACATCTGTTTGTCCCCACCCGTGTTCTCGTTCACTACAGATCGTGTACAGACCAAATCGCAACTCTACGGATCATTGTGGAACGATCAATTGAATGGAATTCATCACTCTACATCAACTTCATTGGCTACGAAAAAGCGATTGACAGCGTGGACTGGACAACACTATGGAAGCTTCTTCGACACTACGGTGTGCCTCAGAAGATAGTCAATATCATACAGAATTCATATGATGGATTACACTGCAAAATCGTGCATGGAGGACAGTTGACAAAGTCGTTCGAAATAAAGACCGGTGTCAGGCAAGGTTGCTTACTCTCACCCTTTCTCTTTCTTTTGGTGATTGACTAGATCATAAAGACGTCAACATCTGAAGGGAAGCACGGGATACAATGGACATCTAGGATGCAATTGGACGATCTAGACTTCGCAGATGATCTGGCCCTTCTATCGCACACACAACAACAAATTCAGGAGAAAACTTCCAGCGTAGCAGCAGCCTCAGCAGCAGTAGGTCTCAATATACACAAAGGAAAGAGCAAGATTCTCCGATACAATACAGCATGCAACAATCCAATCACAATTGACGGAAAAGATTTGGAAGATGTAAAAACCTTTACATATCTGGGCAGTATCATTGATGAACATGTTGGATCTCATGAAGATGTGAAGGCGCGGATCGGCAAAGCAAGAGCAGCATATTTACAACTGAGAAACGTCTGGAACCCAAAGCAACTGTCAACCAACACCAAGGTCAGGATTTTCAATACAAATGTCAAGACAGTTCTACTGTATGGGGCGTAAACCTGGAGAACTACGAAAGCAATCATCCAGAAAATACGGGTGTTTATTAACAGTTGTCTACGCAAAATACTTCGGATCCGTTGGCCGGACACTATTAGCAACAACGTACTGTGAGAGAGAACAAACCAGATCCCAACGAACGAAGAACTCAGGAAGAAGCGCTGGAAGTGGATAGGACACACATTGAGGAAAGCACCCAACTGCGTCACAAGACAAGCCCTCACATGGGATCCTCAAGGCCAAAGGAAAAAAGGAAGACCAAAGAACACATTACGCCGAGAAATGGAAATAGACATGAGAAAAACGAACAAGAATTGGATGGAACTAAAAAAGAAGGCCTATGCTCCATTGAGAGTAACAGGCGTTAGGAAGTATGTAAGTAAGTTTCTGTTATTCGATTTGATCTGGTTGGTAAATTTCGACTATTAATGTGTTACCTGTGAAGGGCTTTGTCAAACTTAGAATAACTGTAGCATCTATATTAGGATACTGGCCTTCGTTATTAAAATTTAATGAAAAAATTCTTCCTTGTAAGATTCTCGGAAGTCACTTGAAATACTCCAGCTACTAGCAAATTAGACAAATTACGCAAAGTGTGAACACAATATAGCTCTTTGCGTTCTGCCTCTAATTTCTGGGCATCAGATTAGAGTTTTTAACTACGCCTGCAGACCTTCTAGAGCTACTGCCCGTTTCAAACCCAGGTAAAGAAGAAGGGATGGGTATTTAGTCGGTAACCATATTTCGTAGAAAAACACCTTGACAAAAAACGAGAATCAGAATAAACCATTTAAACAATTTACACTCTGTCCTGTGAGTCGAAGGAAGAATTATGAGGCCTCATTGTGATTATATCATGAGACGACATGGACTGAGAGAGAGAAATGAAACTGGTGAGAGATTTCTAAATCTGTGTGCATCCAACAAATTGGTTATTAGTGGCACAATATTTCCACACGAATGCGTAGGCAAAGTTACATGAATCTCACCGAATCACCACACAAAGAACTAAATATATAAGTAGCAATAAGGAATTCAGGAGATCAATGGAATACGTGAGAACAAAGATAGGAACTGATATGGCTGCAGACCACCTCCTGGTTGTGGACATGATGAAACTGAAGGTAAAGAAACATTGAACAACTGGAGGAGCAACAGGGACTATTACATCCCTCTTTCGATATACTGATAAACTCAACCAATCAAAGATAACTCTCAACAACACGCTTCACGCCTTACAAGGTCTGTGAAAGAAAGAGTAGCTACTGTGGAGTACAACTGGTAAGTGATCAAATGAGCTTTAAATTTTACATGTCAGTAGTTGCTAACTGCAAGAATAATCATTGTAAATAATGGAAACACATAAAAAATCTGGACAAGATTCAAAAAATGAAAAAGACAATCGCTAACTTAAAATCCTGAAGAGAAGTGGAATTGAAGAAATCCGAAAATCACACTTAGTCGGGAATTGGAAGCAGATATGAAGGAAAGGATTGTCCAAGATAGATTTGATTGGTGAATGCTTTTTTGTGGCTCATGATACTTCATGTGTTGTGGCAGTGTAATTCTTGTGATTGTATGTAAAAAAACCTGATGTTAATTTGAAGAGATAAACAGGTTTCAAAATAAATTGTGTTGTTAGTCTTGGACATTGACGTTGCTGTCAAAAATTTTACTGGACCCTCCTTTAGGGGAAGTACTAGGTCCTACAACTGTACTAGATTAGGATGGGGTACTACATGCCACATATTTAGAAAAAATCTGGTTGGTTTAAGTCATGATCAAGCAAATGGATGTTGAAAAAGAATTTAAGATCGATGATATCATTTATGGCTAAAGAATTCTAGTGATTTGTTTTTAATAATCATTTTGAATGAACTCCTGATTATTTCTAAGTGTTCATTTTGAATTGATGCTAATGTGTTAATAAATTTTAATGCGTTGTCTACGAATATGGTCGATAATCATACCAATAGTTATGATTATTGTGAGACATAACTCAGGCCTTAGTTCCGAGAATGTTTTGTTGGATGGTGGTTATATTGGTAAGCAGTTAATTAAAAACGTATTTCGCATATATTTTTAAAGGATGTCTGTACCAAGAAGTGTGCCTGACTGGGGAGATATGTCATAATGGTGAGCAACATTTATTTTATACAAAGTTTCAGATTCGCTTTTCGGAAGGTGTGTTCCTGAAAATGTTCAGCACGAGTTATTTGATGTTACCTATTCACAAGTGCACAAAATAAAATCGCTTCCTTTGTTTATTCAACCACAAAACTACAACTGGGCTGACACAACCCTTCAATGTTTATTAAGAACAATGATTCTAGAGTATGAGTAAGCTGGTTTGAATTCAGGTGTTTACACTTTTTGCACATTTTTGGTAGTCAATAATTTCATTTGAAAACGAATAAAAACAGTCTTTTTCCTTCCAAGATCCTTCAGAGTTATGGAATGAAAGCCATTTATTTAATATATGCACTTTCTTTACGCAACTTCAGTCTGAATCTTCTGGAAAAATACTATATGTATATTTTCATCTCGGGATATCGTTTTATATATTAAATGCATATTATTTTGCTTCACTTAAGTAGAAACTTTGTGTATGGCAATTTTTTCAATGTTACTAGCCACTATCTTGACATTTAAAAATGTGTATCTGCGAATGATCCGACGTGCGGTAATGTGAAATGTCTGACAAATGTTTACAGTCAAATTATCAGAACAGTTGGAACGATACAGTAGTAGAATAATATTTAATAGGAAATTTCCTGCTGCGCTTATTGGCAGATTACAGTGTTCCTTTGTGGTTCGTATGAGATTACGGTAACAAAACTTAAGTCACGTATGTATGAAAGTAATTAATTTCATAGCACTTGGGTGGCAGTATATTGTGTTTGAACAGTCAGAAAGACGGCACCCGAGACTAACATTAAGACTAAATAACCTGGTATTTTTTCATCAGCTAGAGATAGTAAGTGAGCTGTTTGTCTAGAAAGCTAAATAAAGTCAAACCATTCTTATGTAAAACAGAGTTGGTTAACTGACGCAATCGGGACGCGATTTTCCAACTGGCTGGGCTAGTCTTTATATCTAACTAAGATACTTTTTTGAAAATTCATCACATGTTTTTGAAATGTCTAATGAAACACCATATATTATAGAAAATTTTATTCTTAAAATACAATTGCTTACATTAAATTTCCTTCTAGTAGATCTTACAGATTGTTTAACTTTTTGAGATCTTGAATTCAGTACCAACGTCCTGTTTGTAAGTAATTGTTGCTTTAAGGAGAAGCGGTCTACAAACCGATAATGTTATCACTTGATTATTAAGGAGGTGGTTATTGTTGTAAAGACATTCATGAATATATACTCTTGTGGGGCAATTTATGGTCAAACTACATAAAGTTAATAAACTCTGCCTTTTTGTGTAATTTTTTGTGTACTTCAGCGTTATGTTTTCCTCAAATTTTTATTACTTACTCAATCAATTCTATGGTTTTTTACAGTGATAAGTCACTTATTACTTTTTAACAGTTCAGAATTCCTAAGCAAACTCAAGATCTTAGTCAGACTTCTGAGTATACTTTGCTACAAACTCGACATATTTTTACTTGAAAGAAAAATCAGTATATAGACATATTATTAAGGATTTCCTGATTGCTGATATATTTGGTTACGTACAGGGTGATGAATGGTCACAACAATGCAGTCACTTAATCAGCCATTTGCAGTATGACTGAATAAATAATCCGATATCAAACAGCTCTTTAAAAAACTGTACGTTAATGTCAAATAGCATTCAAAAGCCACGATTTATTCCTGCTTACATTAATTCACATGGACAACCGTGGAAATATGTTTGGTTAAAAAATGTTTAATATGTTAAAAAAGGCATATGAAGTACACCACACAATGTCTAGAAACTTGCGCTAGAATGAATTATCAATCAGTAAACACTAACAAGCAATTAGAAAAAATCATGAACAAACATAGGATCAATTATTAGGTTAAAGCGAAAGATTGTCCAAACAAGATAAGGGAAAAAATAAACAGTTAAGACCAAGGTTAACGAGCTAAGTTACCGGCAGTATGCGGAAAAAGTCTAATTGCTCACGTCTACAAGAAGTTTGTTCTGATGATGCTGTTTGGAGGAATATTGAAAGGCTTGCAATAACCATCCAGATCTGCGAACAAAATTTTACTCAACTCATCCATCAAATAAGCAGATATTCATTATCTCAAAACTGCAATTTAACTGGAGAAGAAAGCATAAATGTTCGTGAACACCCAAATAGTTATCACTAGTAACTAGCTCAATGAGAATGACAGTGGAATATATTCTATACTTGTCTCGTTGTATTTCTTTGTTATTAAAACAAACTTACAAGCTGTTCTGAATAAATTTTAACGTACATGTTATAGTACAGTGAATGAAGTGTGTAGTGAGTGTAATAATGCAAGTTTTCTAACTAAAGTTTAAGTACAACGCGTACGTACATTTATAAACATCTTTAAGATCAAGTTTACCATAAATTTATGAATAAAGGTGACACCCATTCCCAAAAGCAAATGATGCTTATATTCTACATATCTTACTTAAAAAGTGATGAAAATACGTCATAACCTACGATGATTTTAAATACTCAGATTTCACTAAAATAGAGCTTCACGACTGATATTTGGTAATAATCTCTAAAGTACTTCATGATCATAATTGAGTAGTATCAAATGTTAGCTAATGCTCTAGAAAATAACATTTTAATCCATGAAATAGTTTTGGTGCGTCAGATTATAATTCTTTCGTAAATGTCTTTTATTCCATCGGCATTTAGCATTCTCAGTCGAGTTGACTACATCTGGTTCGTCTAAACATTATAAGTCGCCGTTTTCTTTAGATGTACTGGTCTATTTGGATATTTATCTTTGTTGAGAGTTTGTACAATAGATTTCTAAGAAAAAGGATAATTTTTACAAAATAGGAAACGAATAATTACACAGCTTCAAATATTAGCGACAATCAGCAGTAAAAGTTTGCTAATTAAACAAGATTTCAAGTTTTACTCGAGTTATCATGATAATTGAGATACTCAGCGAGATGCGTAATAGTATATATGTAAATTTCAGCAGTAACTGAGGTAAACCAACGTTATTGTTATATTATATTTCTCGCCCAATTTATAAGGATTTCTGTCATTTAACTGGCTTACATGATCGCTTATTCTAGTAAAAAAATTTGTCAATCAAGTTAACTGTGGGTCAAAACTAGTACATCCCAAAACGTTTGTCACTGAGATATTTTATCAGGGCCCTCAACTGAATAAATTGAGCTGAGGAAAAAGATATACTGGGGTTACTTTCCAAAACTTAATATTCAGATAAACTTCACTGTTATGAAAAATTCTATAAATGCTTGCGGACAGTATTTTCATGAGTAAAAATGTTTGGCTCTGATATAAACGCGGATGACCATTAAATGGCATGCAACGTTTTTCTGACTAGAGTGATATACGCTTGCTGGCACGTAACTTTACTTTAACAGGTTTTTTAATCAAATATAGTACATGGAATACTGCTGTGTAGTGTTGTCCAACTCAATGACTAAATATAGTTTCTTGGAGTTTTATCATTGGTGGACGCTGTTAATCTCAACATGAAATTACTTGATATTTGCTAATCAGACCATCCAAGAAGAGACTTTCAAATTTTACATGAAATTAGGAAAGCAAATGATGCAAAGCTTCTTGAAGACAAAATTTTTATGTCAACTTATGAAGTTTGAGCCTTTACGGTTTTCCGATTGTCTAATATACAAAACTTTTATTATTGTTACAATGGTTATTGTATCTTAATAAAAAACACAGTCAATGGAACGGTTGATTTAGTTTCTCAATGATGGTAAATTTTTAATATTTACCTATAGTGTTAATGAACAAAATGAGATGCTGTTATGTTTGGTAAACTATAATTTATTTGAAGGGTGATGAAAAGCATATTTTGAATGTTGAGAGAAATTAAAATCCCTACTATATAAGATAAAAAAAACATACAAATAGATGTGGAAAATCAGGTACCATCAAATTTCAGTATTTTTCAATTAGATCCTCTTCAATTGTGAATAAAACTAGCCCATTTTCTGATGGAATTCATCACATCGCACTTCTCGATTTTAGTAATTCACTTCACGGTCAGTAGGTCAAAGTTGAGTGATTAGTATTTTTGGACGTTTGTATCACTGTGATGGTGGCTGGAAAAAGTTAACAGCAGGCCTGAAACTTAAGTTTGACGATGGGTGGAACTGATCGAAAAAGATAATTTGAAACATTGAGAAAATTGATACTTCTCCATAGCTCTGAAACAGCACAGCCAATTCCTACAATACTTTTAATACCTTTTATGTTTAATTCTGGGACGTTTTGACTTACTTGAACCATGTCATTGACAATAATGCAAATAAATGAGTTAAATCGCTTCTTTTTTTTATCAAAATACATGAAAAAAGTAAACATTTCTGACTAAATTTTATTGATTTGCATCATATTTTGCTTATCTTCTTCGTATAAAGCAATTTGTTTACTGACCAAAGTTGTTCAACTAGTCATTCAATGCTTACTTCCTTGCGTTTAAGTGCAATTGGTCTTTATCCATGCAGAAATAGAAAGCTGCATTATACATAAAATGTTGTGTTTAGATTATGTGACTATCACCGAAGGCTTTCTATTCATATAGTATTAATCAAAATTGTAATTTTTTTCGAAATCGATGAACAGAATATAATTTAGGCAGAATGTTTGATAAATTTTTTGTTATATCCATTATATTTAAATATAACTTACTGATATGAACCGCCAATGACGTTTTGTTATTTATATTGTTTCAGTTAAGATATTTAGCAAATTCTTATCACAATTCGAAATTATTATTTTTTATACATCAAAACATTATAAAAAGTGTTATATTTACTGTACAATTTACAGATCTCATTCAATCTTTGTTGACCCCAAATCGTTTTGTTTATACCAGTATGATATAGAGGATGGTGATAATATTGATGGTCAATTCCGTAGCCAGTATGTAAAACGTGATGTAAGGAAAAATCGTGGATATCCAAATTTTATGCTTAGCAATCCACTGAAAACTATAGAACCTTATTATTTTCCTGAAAATTCATATGAACTTATGGATAATGACAATAAATATAATCGGTGGATTGATAATCTTATTAATAAAGGAATAAATGCAGAAATGAAGAACAATGAAGAATTAGATCATTTCAGTAAAAAATTTCAGAAAATGCTACGTTTATCTGGAAATCATGAAAGAAATGAGAACATAGAATCTAACAGAGAACAAGAATTAGCAAATAAAGTGATGGATGATTCAAATAAAGACGATGGTGATATGGCTGCCAAATTATATCAAGATGATTATCTACTCTCAGGCAGTAAGTAGTTTAATTGAATTCGGGAAATTGTTTAATAATCTTATGACAAGATCAAAAAGTAATTTTGACGATGACTAGGTTACGTCTGAACAAGTATTTTGTGTTACAGAATAGCGAATATATACGGAAGACTTTTTATATGCCGAACATTTAATTTTCAGACTTCTTAGAGGCACATCAGCTTTTGATATCCTAACGTTACCGTACTACATAAGCAATTATTACTCAGTGTTTTATAATTCGAAGTTAAAAGAAAAATATTTTTGCTCGTCAATTGAATTTCTGGATAGTTTCCATCGAGGAAACCAATGATTTATGAGTCTTTGTAAAACAGTATTCAGTAATCATAGACATTCAGCAAATATTTCACTCAGTTAAAACTATAATTTGACCAATAATGAATATGTAATTTTTTATCGATCCACCAACAAATATGAAATCTTTAAAAAACGTATTTTCAATATTTATGGCTGTTTCTGATGTTATTGAGAAATACTTAGATATGAAACTAATGTTTTTATCAAAACAATGCTGCGATACCTTAAGAGCTTTGAGACATTCCGCATCTTTATCTTTAAAGTTAATTAGATTATAGGGATAGGAGAAAAACAAATCAATTTTCTAAAGTGTCCCATATTCCTCAGTGATAAAGGTTTATTTTGAAAATATCTTTTGACGAAACCGTAACAATAAATGATTGGTTACACGTAACCGATAGTATTGTGGTGTATACTACTTATGTCGATATATATATATATATATATATATATATATATATATATATATATATATATATATATATATATATAAGGTTGTTTCCTGTATTGCACCGAGTTTAAGGCATATGCCGTGCGCGTACATGGCACTGAATCTGTTGGTTTTAACAATTCAGTTAGTTTCTGTATAATATTTATCACAAGTGTATAACAACTAAAGTTATTCAAACTAAGGAATACTGAACAGTAGATTGTAACATAAATCTATTATTATGTTGTGTACATGGTTACAGGTTTCTTAGTAATTTAGAAACTGTATTATCCAACACCAGGTCTCTTGTTTCAGGAGACAGTTGGAGTGAGAGACTTAAGAAATATGCTTAATCTCGCGCATCAATTGTTCGATTTCCATTAGGTTAACTGATTGGGCAATTTAGGTTCTTTAGAAACATTAAGATTGTTTATCCAACATAAAGTTTGGCAGAAATTTCGTAGAATTTTGATTCTACCAACAGTTTACTGAAGAGTTATTTAATATTAGTTTTTAGGAAATTTATTAAGCAATGGACTGAAAATTTAAAATTTAGCCAACGTGGATTGATTACGAGCAAATTATACTGCACAGATATCCGTCAGAAATTTAGAAACGTCTTTCTTGAAATGAACTAATTAAGAGTGGTGGATTATGACTATTCAGCTTAGTAGTTTGTGAATGGTCGTCCTTATAACTAATATCACTTCATGATGAAACCTCTAAAATATAGAATTTTGGCGAACTGTAGCTTATAATGAACGTAGTTAGTCGATAAAACTGATAATTTTGAAATCTGTCTTGTAAAACCTAAGCAGTAAACATCATTAGATTCGAGTTTAGAAAGAATGAGTTATTGAAAGCTCCTTCTGACTTCCCATTTTGTCGATTTCATCAATTCCTGAAATTATAAGCAAATATGGATAGTGGCTAGCAGTAGAATCCAGGACGCGCGTTTCGTCCTGTTTGGGACTCGTCAGATGGATGTACCTGTTGATGTTCACTCTGGGACTCGAACTCAGTACCGTTCGCTTCAAACGCCATCGCGTTATCCATTTAGCTACTGAGTACTGATAGCCACTTGCTTGTGCACAGTACGCACAGTATGCACATATGCCAATATGAAACTGATCAATTTCACTCCAGAAACATCAATGGGAAGATTCAAGTAAAACAATATCAAGTAAATTCCTGAAATGTTCAATAGCAATTGGGAATTTATGACCGGTTAAAATCGTTTAAATAACTACTAAGAATTATTTATTGAGCGATTCATATGATTTTGGATATTAACATTGAAGCTGTAATTAATCAATAGGAAAAAGTCGATTAGAATGAGATTATCATTAGGGATAAGTATGGGACAGACAGGCTTGATGAACCAGTAAAAATTTTTGTACTTCTGGTAATTCAGAAAAAACTCTACCTCCCAATTATTTTCATAATTTCTCACCTGTTTCGTTCATAAATAGAACTAAATGCTCAATAAATCAATTTCAAGAAATACTCCCATTTTATAAATGACATGATTTGCAGTTTGAGCAGATACATGTGTTTTTTCTGTCAGTGTTTCATTAAACCCAGAATTTGAACTCCAGTAGTTTACACTAAGAAATGTCTATCTATGCATTAAATAAATATGAAATATTGAAAAATGACAATCATGTGTAGAAATAATTAGATTGAGGCTAAAGAAGTACTGCTTAATAACTACAATTACGCAATCCTACAAGTGTCAAATATAATTGATTGGTATTCAAAATAGTAGGAAATGAAGACAAGCTTGAGATAAATAGAAATCGTTCACCCAACGACTCCTTACACACTTACACCTTCCTATAGATGTTACTCCACCAGCAATTGAAGAAATCACAATGACTATTAGACAAATAAAGTGTGGGATAGCAGCAGTACCAGGCAATATGCCAAGTGACGCAATAGACTCAGACAGAGGTAAATGTAAAGATGCCCCACGTTCTATTCAGGAAGATTCCAGATGAAAAAATAGTCCAAACAAGCGGAGAAGTAATATAACTCGCTAAGGCACCAAAGAAAGGAGATCTCAGCGAGGGCGCGGTCTATATAGAAATCAAACTACTATCAGTGCCAGAGTGTTGTTGAGCCGGATTAAATATTCAGTAGACGCCCGAATTCGAGGTCGACGGGCTGGATTCCGTAAGGATCGTTCATGCATTAACCAAATCGCGACAATACGGATCATCATTGAACAATCGATTGAATGGAACTCATCACCATGCATCAAATTCCTTGACCATGAAAGGCGTTTAACAGTGTGAATAGGAGAACATTATGGAAACTTCTTCGACACCACGGTGTGCCCGAGAAGGTTGCCAACATCATCCGGAATTGATAGGATAGATTACAGTGCAAAGTGGTGAATGGAGGACAACTGACAGATTGATTCCAAGTGAGAACATGAGTCAGAAAAAGGCTGCTTACTCTCCACTGCCATCTTTCTTCTGGTGGTCGACTGGATTTTGAAAACTTGAACATCTGAAGGAAAGCACGGAGTATAAGGGAAAGCTCGGAATCAATTAGAAGATTTAGACTTTACGGATGACCTGGCCCTTCAACCCCATAACCACAAACAAATACAGGTCATGACAAACGGTGTAGCGGAAGCCTGTGCATCAGTAGGCCTCGACATACACAAGGGAAAAAGCAATATTTTCAACTACAACACAGAGAACACTAACCCAATCACACTTGATGGAGATGGTCTGGAATACGTAGAATCTTTCACGTGGTCGGTCAGCAGCATCATCGATGAACAAGGAGGATCGGATGCAGACTTAAATGCGAGGATTCGTAAAGCAAGGACGGCATTCCTACAATTGAAGCACATATGGAATTCGAAACAACTGTCAACCAATATCACAATGAGAATCTTCAATGTGAACATCAAGGTAGTTCTACTGTGTGGAGCTGAAACATGGAGAACTACCACAACCATCATCAAAAAGGTATGAGTATTTATAAACAGTTGTGTGCGTAAGATACTGAATGTCCGTTGGCCGGATACCGTCTGCAACACCACTCTGTGGGATAGGAAAACCCAACTTCGAGGTGAGGTGGAAAATGGGGAAAGACATTGGAAGTGGATAGGACGTACATTGCGGAAATCACCAAGGTGTATCGCGAGACAATCGGTAACTTGGAATCCTGAAGGGAAGTGGAATTGAAGATGTCCAAAGAACACATTACACCGAGAATTGGTTGCAGGCATGAAAATGATGAACAGCAACACAAAAGAACTAAAAAGGATTGTCTAAGACAGAGTTGAATGGAGAATCTTGGTGGGCGACCTGTTTTCCATCAGGAAGAGTAACTGGTTTAACTAAGTAAGTATTCTATAAACGAGTTAACAATAAGGCAGAGTCATGTTAATAAGATTAGAATACATTGTTCGGGTTCGTGTGAACAGTGGTTAGAGATTTCCAATGATACGACTCAAAAATCCTTTTCAGTTGATCTGGTGCATCCATTCTTTGTCTTTCCGCTATTCTGAAGCTCTTGAATTCTTCATAACCTTTTGTCCGTTTTTACTTCAGTATTTAATATTTTCTTCAATCGTGACTCCGATCTCTAATTTTTTCTATCACCATTCATACTGTTTCTTACTCTACTATTCAGGTATTAGGGCATAAAATTTGATAGGTCTGTTGTAATGTAGTATGACAACTTGAATCTATGTATGTATCTATTAGGTTCCGCTCTGCAACAGATTGAGTGACTGTGAAACCTAAGTGACTGCACAATACTAATTAAATTTGTGAATGCACACTGGCATTAAGAGGCATGAAGAAGAAATACTTTTTATCACTGACATAGATTTTTGTTTGGTTCATTACTTCTATGATATGCTTCAATTTTTTTAAAGTTGAAGGTGACTTTCAGTCAAGATAATTTGAACAACAGTCGAAGTGAAAGTTATGATCCACTGATCAAAGAGAACAAATATGTGAAAAGAGTTTCGGATGATTCAGATGAGTCAAAGAAGTTACACTATATTTCACAGCATCGAATAGTTATTTTGAGGAAGTATCTTTACAGTCAAACTAAAGAAATGTTGTTATAACCGAATTTTGTTCAACTTCTAAGTAGCAAAGCATATGTTAAAGTAGTAGCTTAGAAGTACAGTCAAATTTTTGTAATTTTGTACAAATTATTATTTCTTGCAATTCATTTATAATTTGGACGTTAGACTTAAAAAAAACTCCGATTTATATTAG